CCTTCAACCCTATTCTCACCATAAATCTCGACTCTCAATTCCCCAGTAGAAGCGGAGATATGAACATTTAAATTCAAATTTCAATTTTAAAATTAACTTAAAATTTAAAAATGTAACCTTCGGTATCTCCTAAACGGCTCAAGATACAGGAACGCGCTTTTGCCTCAATATAGTCCTGTATCAACCTATTCTCTCCCATAAATCTCGACTCTCAATTCCCAGTAGAGCGAGGATATGAACATTTAAATTCAAATTTTCAAATTAAAATTAACTTAAAATTTAAAAAATGTAACCTTCGGTATCTCCTAAACGGCTCAAGATACAGGAACGCGCTTCGCCTCAATATAGTCCTGTATCAACCCTATTCTCACCATAAATCTCGACTCTCAATTCCCAGTAGAAGCGGAGATATGAACATTTAAATTCAAATTTCAATTAAAATTAACTTAAAATTTAAAAATGTAACCTTCGGTATTCTCCTAAACGGCTCAAGATACAGGAACACAGGAACGCGCTTTTGCCTCAAATAGTCCTGTATCAACGCTTTCTCACCATAAATCTCGACTCTCAATTCCAGTAGAAGCGGAGATATGAACATTTAAATTCAAATTTCAATTAAAATTAACTTAAAATTTAAAAATGTAACCTTCGGTATCTCCTAAACGGCTCAAGATACAGGAACGCGCTTTTGCCTCAATATAGTCCTGTATCAACCCTATTCTCACCATAAATCTCGACTCTCAATTCCCAGTAGAAGCGGAGATATGAACATTTAAATTCAAAATTTCAATTAAAATTAACTTAAAAATTTAAAAGTAACCTTCGGTATCTCCTTAAACGGCTCAAGATACAGGAACGCGCTTTTGCCTCAATATAGTCCTGTATCAACCCTACTCTCGCCATAAATCTCGACTCTCAATTCCCAGTAGAAGCGGAGATATGAACATTTAAATTCAAATTTCAATTAAAATTAACTTAAAATTAAAAAATGTAACCTTCGGTATCTCCTAAATGTCTCAAGATACAGGAACGCGCTTTTGCCTCAATATAGTCCTGTATCAACCCTATTCTCACTATAAATCTCGACTCTCAATTCCCAGTAGAAGCGGAGATATGAACATTTAAATTCAAATTTCAATTAAAATTAACTTAAAATTAAAAAATGTAACCTTCGGTATCTCCTAAACGGCTCAAGATACAGGAACGCGCTTTTGCCTCAATATAGTCCTGTATCAACCCTATTCTCACCATAAATTTCGACTCTCAATTCCCAGTAGAAGCGGAGATATCGACGGATGAAGGCAGGATAACGATAGAGAAAGCCTGGAAAACTTTAACCTTCGATATCTCCTAAACGGTTAGAGATACAGGCTTCGGACTGGTACCAAATTAAAGCCCTTTCAAAACCCTGCATTTTGCACTACATGGACGACTCTCTACTCCCAGTGGAAGCGGAGATATCGACGGAGAAATGTTAGAAAACTTTAACCTTCGATATCTCATAAACGGTTAGAGATACAGGCTTCGGACTGGTACCAAATTAAAGCCCTTTCAAAACCCTACATTTTGCACTACATGGACGACTCTCTACTCCCAGTGGAAGCGGAGATATCGACGGAGAAAGGCTGGAAAACTTTAACCTTCGATATCTCCTAAACGGTTAGAGATACAGGCTTCGGACTGGTACCAAATTAAAGCCCTTTCAAAACCCTACATTTTGGACTACATGGACGACTCTCTACTCCCAGTAGAAGCGGAGATATCGACGGAGGAATGCTGGATATCAACGGAGAAAGGTTGGAAAACTTTAATCTTCGATATCTCCTAAACGGTTAGAGATACAGGCCTGGCTCTGGCACCAAATTAAAGCCCTCTCAAAACCCTACATTTTCGACTACATGGACGACTCTCTACTCCCAGTAGAAGCGGAGATATCGACGGAGGAAGGCTGGGTATCGACGGAGAAATGTTGGAAGACTTTAATCTTCGATATCTCCTAAACGGTTAGAGATACAGGCCTGGCTCTGGCACCAAATTAAAGCCCTCCCAAAACCCTACATTTTGCCGTAAATGGCGACTCTCTACTCCCAGTAGAAGCGGAGATATCAACGGAGGAACGTTGGAAAACTTTAATCTTCGATATCTCCTAAACGGTTAGAGATACAGGCCTGGCTCTGGTACCAAATTAAAGTCCTCTCAAAACCCTACATTTTCGACTACATGGACGACTCTCTACTCCCAGTAGAAGCGGAGATATCGACGGAGGAAGGCTGAATATCAACGGAGAAAGGTTGGAAAACTTTAATCTTCGATATCTCCTAAACGGTTAGAGATACAGGCCTGGGTATAGCACCAAATTAAAGTCCTCTCAAGCGGTGGGCGGGGTCTCAGAGGAAGTGTCATCGACGAAACGTGCAATGCTTGCGATGCCCGTGTGTTGTATGCAATACGTGCATGTTCTTAAAAAATGAAAAAAAATTTATTGTGATACACATATTTTGTATGCAACACGTGCATTTTCCTAAAAAACGAAAAAAAAATGATTGGCGAAAAAGGAAAACGCCGACCATCAAGGAGATGCGAACCACCGATCTCAACCCCGCGAGTCCAACGTACTTCCACCATGCCACACGCTCTTTGAGAAGCTCAATTCTTCATTTGGTTCATGGAGCACTCGTGATTTTCAATCGCGACTTTCTTGCAAACGCTTCAATGCTACGCCGTAGCTTTAAGTGCAATGTTAATTTGTCATGCAAATCTATCAACACAACGAGTTTAGTCGAAATCGATTGATATTGATCATCTCGTTGGATTCACGCCGAGAGTGAAACGTCAGTCTCGGCGGTGTGTCGGGAAGCACAATCTCGGCAACGTTGCGAATCAGAGCGAGATGGAGAGAACACATTCCCTCTCTCTCTCTCTTTCGCTTGGCTCGTCAAAACAAGCCGAACGGTGGGAGGGACTTCAGACGGATAGACGGGTGCAGTTTCTCTGTGTGTGTGTGCCGACTACATTCTTACATAGAAACGTACAGCAATTGAAAATGTTTAAGCATATACCCTGAGATTCTGTCTGTTGCGTATGACACGTGTGTGTGTGTGTGTGTGTGTGTGAGTGCGTATATGCACACGTACGTCACGCACACTTTCAATGCAACACATGCACACGGACACAACTGCGCTAAAAAACGCCTGCCGGAGTATAAATAAATACTAACGTAACACTGAAATATTTTGGAAAAATAATTTTGGGTACACACAAAATATTATCTTATTATCATATATTTATATATCGATATAAATCGTATATAATCTTCATGATATTAATCATATACAATCTCAATTCTTATTTTTTTTGTGCATGTTAACATGTTAATTCATGTTACAAATGCATAACAATGCGCGAGACCGTGCTTGTCAAGTACGCTATTATGGTTGTAGCACGGACATAAACCGCCTGAAAGTGGATGTAGCACGGACAGCCACCAGATGCAGGTTTTACCGTCGAGACCTAAAAGTGGATGTAGCATCGTAGTTCCCCTCTCAAAATGGATGCAGATAGCGCCCATTCCCAGTGCGAAAAATCGGTGTCGCCGAAAACGCCGTGTTGGCCGCTCTCAGCTTCCTCTCTGCTTTCAGGCTTTTCTCTGGTGTCAGGATCTTGGAAATTGAGAGTGGTGTTGGAGCGGCAACCCACACGCCCAGAGCCATCTATTGAATTGAATTGAATTGAATAGGATCTTGGAAAGGACCAGAGAGTGGCGTTGGAGCGGCAGCCCACACGTCCAGAGCCATCTATTGAATTGAATTGAGGATCTTGGAAATTCAACAGCCAATCAGCACGTCTGACAATATTTATCGTACCACTTGAAATGTTAACATGCCCTAAACAGCATTACCTAGAAATATTGTACATTGCTTGAATGCACTAGTTGCATTTTGACTGTTTACGAGATCGCTAGAAATTAAACCTATCAATAGATAGTATCTTGCAATAGACAGTTTAATTAACTACGGTACCGTAATTGTTTTATTCGGCTTCATCGGTGCGATTATTTTTAACCGTAACCACGTGGGATAACACGGTGCGATACATGTGGTATAGGTTAAATTAAATTTTCCAAGTATTGTTATCTTTTCTAAACCGAGTGCTCTTATCATTAACTCGGAGAATATGGAATCGCACAATGTTATTGGGAAGAAACGAAAGAAGAAGCGTTCTCACATGCAAATGGCAAAAAAATTCGCTCGTCAGAGGTACAGTGGCAATGAACTGGACAAGGACACTTATCAGTATTTGATTCGTGTTCTTGAGTTGATGCGTGAAGGTTTCCCCACGTCTGAGGAGAAGATGATTTACGTGCAGAATGTTTATCAAGAAACTGTAGGCCATGAAATTGAATATGCACAAAATCAAGTTGGATCACGTGTCATGGATTCTCTGTTGAAGTATGCTAACTTAGAAACCATTGAGAGGCTGATAAAAGCATTCATGTCCTCTGTGAGGAAATTAAGCAGTGACAGATTCGCCAGTCATGTCTTGCAGAAGATAATAATGATCTGTGCTGACAGAGGCAATAGGATATCTGATACATCAACCACAGACAAGACTGCCACAAGTAAAACTAGTACAGAAACAGAAGACAATACTGCTGATGTTGTCGTACAAGTTAAGTATTCTGAAAAAGTGAAGTACAATGATATTGTACTACAGCTAAGCAAATACTATATTAATAATATGGAAGAATTTGTATTTGATACTTATGCTAATCATATCCTAAGAACTGTTATAGAGTGTCTGGCAGGATTGATCGAGGATGCTGACAGCGAAGGTAATAAGAAATCTATGCCATGTCTTACAAAGAGACGTCCTGTAATTCAAGAGTACCGAGATCTGTTGGTACAAAGCTGTGACCGGCTGCAGAAATGGCCGCAGTTTCTAGAATTTGGGCAAGATGAAGTTACTTCTGGTTTAGTACAATGCGTTTTGTACTCATTGAACGATATTGATTTGGATTTAACAAGCACTATCATCAAGAAAATTAGCACACAATGTTTCAAATCAGAAGAAGATGGAAAACTATCAAACATATTTAATGCAGAATGTTCAATCAGATTATTGGAAACTTGTTTGATAGTAGCAACACCGAAGAGCTTCAAAAAACTATATAAAATGTTTTTTGTAGGAAATTTGAAACATTTGTGTTTGACACAGATTACCAATTTCAGCGTACAAAAATTATTAGACTATTGCACCACTAAGGAGGAAATGGAGGCAATATTTGATGAAGTGTCGGAACACTTCCCAGAAATTCTCAAGCGAGGTTTTACCGGGATATTGGCCAGCGCTGGAAATGCATGCTTGAGATTACAGACAAAACAAGGTGCATTTGTCAATGCTATAATCAAGTTATTGGAATGCGGCACATCCACACAAGATCCAATGCAGCTTGTACCATGTACAGTGATTCTGAAGAGTCCGACTCAACTAAAATCTTTACCAAATGATCAACAACCACCTTTCAGCTTACACGGGAGTCTGATAATACAAGCAATGCTACATTTCAATAAACCCATCAAGATCGTAAATTCTTTACTAGAGATGAACAATGAGGAATTGCTGCGCCTATTCGGTGATCCGAAAGGCAGTCGAATTCTCGACGCCTTCATGGACAGCAAATATATCGGCGAAAAGAGCCGTGAGAAATTATTCAAAAAACTACGAGGTACTTGGGCGGAATTAGCTAAAAGCACGCACGGATCTAGATGCTTGGACAAAATGTGGGTATGGGCACGGCCAGATCACAAAATCTCCATTATGGAGGAATTGTCCGCAGCCGGAGAATCTTTACGATCATCTAAGTCGGGAAGGATCATCTACACAAAATTGAACCTGCCGTTATTCCAGAGAAGTAAGAAAGACTGGTCGGAGTCACAAGGAAAAGAAGAAAAGATCAGAGCATTGTTTGCAAATGTTATTAAAAATGCTCCTGGAAAATAATCTGAAATATTGTAGCACCAATTTTTACACGCTTATATTACATTTGTTGAATGAATGACGATCAGTATCGTTTTTTAACGAATATCGGACATTACTTTTTCATCTGCGAAAAATGAAGAGATATCTTTAAGATGCTTAAATATAAAAAAAGAAAAATGAAAACGCGTGTGTTAACTCAAGTATCCGCGTACTTTTTATAGAAAAGAGTACGATTACACTTCACATTCCTCTCACATAACCGTAGGATATAATGTAAAAAATATAATGTAAAAAATAATCTCTTGATATTATTTTTTTCTTACGTTCTGACATAGAATAATCATATATTTCGTTAGTTTATAAATACATTTTATAGGATCCATCATACATCCCCGCAACGCAATGTGTCTAGGAAAAATTACAATAATTCGTAGTCTATAGATTTGAGCAAAGTTCCCTAACGCATACAATCGACGATAAATCCGCTTCATTTTCATCGTGACTAGACTTAAATATACGTGGTAATTATATCCTGAGGTGCGCGCAAAGTAAAAGATTCGACTCGCGTTACATTAGTCGTTACAATCGTTAAACCTATCAATTGACTAGGATAAGATCGATGTGATTCGTCTTTCGTATACGAAACATCGAGGTGAGCGTGAATACGCGATCATCAAAATCAAGTCACTTTTATGCATGTGTGTGTGTGTGTGTATGTGTGTGTGTGTATAGATGAGTGGATGAATGTGCATATATCGTGTGTGTCATATATAAATATGTATGAGTTTCATTTCGTGATATATTCTATTTTCATAACGATATTTTGCTTTGTAATATTGAGACACGGTAAAAAGTTACATCCAAGTGAAAGAACACATAGTAAACGATTATTTGACAGTAAAGAGAGAGAGAGAGAGAGGGGAGAGAGAAAGAGAAAGAGAAATCAACTTGTGCAACGTTACAATTTTATGCATCTCATAGATTTAACTGATATCGACGATAGTGAAAGTCCCTCCCCCCGTGCTTTTCCAGATCGTTACAAGCAAGCAAGAAAGATGCAATATTGCATATTCTAAGTCGCATAAAGTTCGTTAATCCGGCGAATGTATTCTTCGGTTTCGCATCGCGAATACTAAATTCGATTTGCTAATGGCGAAATGAAGAAATTTCTACACTAATGGGGGAGAGTTATTTTCGTAATGCTACATTTACCGCTAAATGTCGATTCGGAGCGATACGAAACGCGCGTCTCCGTTGTGATTCACTGATCGAATTCATTGATATCTATTATTCCTTCAGTTGCAGAAAGCGCTTAAGACACGCATTATTACTATTGTTCGATATAATCCTAGGTAATGAATGGATTGGAAATTTGCAATCCGGTAGAGGATAAAAAGGTGAGCGGCTGGCACGATGCTGATAAATGTGTACATTCACGACAGTGCTCTGCATGCTGTTCCGCCGGTGCTATCTATTCGGAAAACGCAAACATCTATGTGGTCGGTTACGCTACTTGACGTGAAATCAGTTGCTCATTTTGCGTGATTAATTGATAAAGTCCTAAAGCACATTTATCACGCCCGACGTTTCACCCGAGGCGTGTAATCGACTTAGTTAAGAAGTTTGCTTGCATATCTATATGTTCGTGCATTTTTGACACTGACCGCGCCTGATCATTAGTCCAAGGTAGTCTAATGTGAATTTTAAATACAGCCTCATGAGATGCTCCGATCTCTTTTACATGTTTTCGTAACGTGTTTGAATATCATTGTATGGCTCAATTGAAAAATAATTACTGGTATTGAAACTGATCAGTCAGTCGGAGATTCGTATTTGTGAAAGTTCGATTAAATTTCGATTAAATGAAAGACAGTTGTAAATTTCCTGATATTTACCGTTGCGTGATTCTTATCACCTGATTGAAACGCCGGAATTAGAGATTGCCACAGACAACTGATTGTCAAAATCAGTTGCTTGCTAATTCGACCGTCAATCTGCCAATTGACAAGCGAATAATCAACTTGCTCACAGATACATCGAATTAGAGAGATTCTTGTCCAGACTTGCCCACGTTTCCAAACGGATTATGAAAGAAATGTCGAGATTAGTTCCATAGAAAGAAAAGGACACATCGATGAGAGTACGCAGAAGATGTATGATCGCTAAAAACCCTGTAGAAAATAGATGAATAAAGAAGAATTGATAGAAATTTATCTTGTGAATGCGAGAATCTCTAATTTTCCAAATTCGGGGTCGGCTTCGGCGGAATTGTGAAATAATTTGCCGCACTTTGTTCCTCTCTTCGTTCCACTTCAATCTTCGGTATGACCGAAAAAAAGTACAATCAGAAATCTAACGTTCTTTACACCAATCCCCGATTTCGAAGGTCAGGTATTCAATTTCACAGGAATCGATTTCTCTCGATTCGTTTCAATTCATCCATCTTTCACAGCGGAAAGTCCTCGTGGAAACGCGCGCACGGTCAACGCGACTCGTGGTCGATCGATCTGGCTGATCGCAGACCCAGGTTGTTCCTAGCACCACGACGTCACTTCCCCTTCGAGATGCCGGCGGATGCCGGCACGGGCTCGACCTCGTTGACAGCCGCGGGGAGATTCGCAGCGGCGACCCTCGGCGGACTGCGCGAGGACGATCTTCGTGGTTCGCGCGGCGGCGGATTGTTGCAAGTCGCGTGGTGGCCAGCCTCCCAGTCGCGGTGCTGGCAAAAAGAGCCGCAGTACCGGGCGATTCCGCAGCCGCCGCAGGTCTCTAGGGCGGGCCTACCGCAGTTCCAGCAGCTCTGGGAACAAGGACTAGGATTAGTTCGTCCTTAATCGGAGCTCCACTTCCATGGAATCTCGCAGCTATTTGAGGAGTTGAATACTAACTTCGAACAATACTAGAATCAAGAAATCCAGTAAAAGACACGTCGTATTACGTCGTATTATAACGTTTAGAGAATTGGGACATCTTCGACGAAATAGAAGGAAAAACAAAAAAGAGCCGATGGCCTAAGAAATGCAAATATCTCTGGATACTCACTTCCTTGATGTTTAATATTTTTCCAAAAGTAACGATGCGATTATACTTACGGATCCCATCATGCTGGTGAGGTGAACGTCCTTCTCATCTTCGGTGGTCGACGCCGCCGAGTTCGGCGTGGTTGTCGGCGTCGTCACATTCCTAGCGCTGGTCTCGACCGCGCTCGAGCTCCCGTGAACCCTCAGGAAAGATCCTTGACGGAGATTGCTGTGGTTCCTCTGGGAAAGAGGCAGATCCAGTAACCGATGCACCCTCAAACGCTCATTCGCTCTCGACTCTGCCACCGCAACCGCCACAGCACGTTGCATTTCCGCCACCGCGGCTCTCTTCACTTCTAACACGGCTTCCTCTGAAGATTTCGATGGAGCCAAGTTCCGATTATTATTTATTCGTATGTAGGTGAAGAATACAAAACACGAAACGACTGTCTCTGAGAGATCAAAGTAATTATAATAAAAAAGGGCAATGCGAATATTTCGTCTAAAGGCAATATTGATACGCTCACAAACATGAATGAAAAAACTTTAAGAGAAATCCACGATATAATATTCTAAAAAAAGAAAAGAAAAAGAAACAACCGAAGATACGAAGATGAGATAATATAATCGAGATACCGACCGGCCCTCCGCTTGACCTCAGCCACCTTGTCCTCGGTCACCCTGATCGTCTGCGCGACGATCTCGCCGGACAATCGCTTCAGACTACCATCCCGATCACCGGTAGACGACTCGACCTGCGCGCCGTTGGTCGACGAGGGGTTGTTGCCGTTGCTGTTGCCGTTATTGCTGGTACCATTCTGCGCCGCGACCACACCTGATGGAGGCGCCGCGGCTGCCGGACTAGAGCAGCCTCGTCGCTGAAGGATCGCCAGTGCTCTCTTCGTCTTCTCGACCATGCCGAGGATGCAATTGAGCATCACGTGGATGTTCTTCCACTCGTCGTCGAGGCTACCGCCGTTCTGAGTCTGCAGACTGTGGCCCATCGGCTGCTGCGGCTGTTGGGTCAGGTGATGCGGCCCGGAAAACGCGTTTATCTGATTAATCTGCACGAGACTAGGCGGCACTGGGCTCGGCCCGTGGCCGTGGCCGTGCGCGTGACCTTGAATCGATCCGCTCGAGGAGTGCAGCGGATGGTACCAGCAATATGACGGGTCCGTCGGCTGCTGATGCTGTTGTTGCTGCTGATGATGGTGACTCCACGGATTGGTAGGCCTCTTGCCGTACACCGGCATGTCATCCAGGAGGGCTCCGTTCTCATAATACCTGAAGTGGTATTACCGCTGATGTTAAAGGACAAGTGCGAGAAAATGACCGATGTGATAGGATTCAGCCGTGGAAAGACGTCGCAACGCTCTTTGTTCGGTTAAGGAGAATCTCTACACGTTGACAGACACGTAAGAAGATTATTGAAGTCGATTTATCACGTCTTTTAATCGTCGAGTCGCGGACTTTCTCTGGAAGGCTCTCTCTCTCTCTCTCTTTCTCTCTCTCTCTCTCTCTCTCTCTCTCTCTCTCTCTCTCTCTCTCTCGAGCCCCGGGATCGTGCGCTATACAACGTAGCCCTTTACTTTCGCACGGCGGATTATTTGGGCATTCAGCGCGGGAGTCGACTGCGTACCAAAGACGCTAATCCGTGTGTACGTGCGTACACCGACGACGTCATCGAGACGTGTGCGCCACGATGCGGTGTGTATTAGCAGGATGCCGATAGGCACTCGAGGCAAGTTCGCCGGTACTCGTGGGCGAAGAGGTAGCAGGCTGGCGCGGGGACGATGAGGGGTGTTCGGGAAAGGTGGTGCCCCGATGATATATGGAAACGTCACCGGCAGACATATCGAGAGGAGGCCAGGGTGGCATTGCCAGGGAGCACACCGCGTTTTGTCGCCTTCGTATTCGCTTCGCGGCCTCCCTTTCCTCCCCCACTCCGTCTACGTGCATATCATCCTGACCGGAAATCCCGGCCGTTCAACGTTGATTTCATCAACACTTCGGCGGCCGGTGGAAGTGACACGTGGAGCGCGAGTATTAAGGTTGCCCGTTCGTACGTCGCGATATAATTATATATATATATATATATCTTTTTTCTCTTTTTTTCCAATCGAGGCTACACTAGACATGGTAACTAGAAACAAGTGCAAACAATTCAGTTCTCGAGGAATTTTTCGCTTTCAATCGCCCGCAACTTGGGAAACGTCGATGTATCGACGTATTGTGGAAAATTCGAGGTTCGCCGAAAAATCGCTCTCACCGGGGGAATATTTTTCGGTCTAGCGCATCTCATCGCGCAGATCTTCGTTCGACGTCGGCGAAGCCACCCCTCTCAGCGTTTCCGGGACGCTTTCGCGCGAATCATCAATATCGGCGAGGCGTTGAACAGCGCGGAGGTAATTTCGCGATAATAGGCGCTCGATCGCGATAAATATCGGCGAGAAATGCAGGCCGGCGGCCAAAATTTTTTCGAAACGGCGGCGCATTTGCGGCTTGGCAAATGTAGTAGGTACGCGTGCACGCGCAGGTGCGTGGCGTTCGTTACCGCGTGAATTATCGTTATGGACGAGCGAAGATTCCACGCGATCTTGCTTGGGCGAGAAGCAATTTGCACGATAATTTATACGCCCCCGTTGTGCTATTCCTCTCTGTCGACCGTGCGCGACGAGAAAGTTGTTATGTCTGCTCCTCCAACGATCGGCCCGCAAATACTGGAGAGAATTACAGTTATGATACTCTTTATATTCTAATACTTTAGTTCTATACTTTACACCCTAATAGACGAACGGCTCGACTGTGCTCCCCGCAAGTTATATGTAAATTATTAAAATATTTTGCAATATATCAACTCCGCAATTGATGGGTTCCAACAATAATGTGAAAAAAAGACACGTGCATAATAGAAATCTGCCAAAGAAGAATCGATTCCTTCGATAAATTTTTCATTTACTTTACTCGTAGCTCGATATCATTAAATTGTAACCAATAACACGCACGAAACGCAAAAATAACTCGGCGGTAGCACATACCCGTGACCGTTCCCGCGCGATTTCCCAAGTACGCGAGGATTACGTTCCCCTTCGGAACGGTGGAACCGGAAAGGTGGACGTTCTATTATTCAAGTCGTTCCATCGCAAGACTATCACGAGGAATTTGTACGACGGTGATCTCGCGGCGGGTCGATAATAACGTCTTTCCCCTCGCTCAGTGTTTTTCAACTCTTTTTTTTATCCGTGACTTCACTCCGCCAAGCATTATTAAGCACAATTCGCTTCAATCCCTCGTAGGCTACCGTTGGCACGCTCGCTGCCGCGCTGAATTTTACAGATTCCCGCCACAGGCCAGGCCAGGCCAGCTGAATCATCCCGAAGAAAATGTATCGAAAAGGTCAACTCCAGTGTGTTACACATGTGTATCGATCCGTCAGGAAATATTCGATTGTCCCACGCGCACGCTGGTGAAGCTGGTTGCGAGCGTGTTAATAGAAAAAAAAAAAAAAAAAAATTCAACGAAATTAGCCAAGCGCGTCGCTCCAAATTACACCGCGATACCCTCTCCGTAACTCCGTCGCGCATTTTTTTCCCATCCGGACGGACTGATGGCTCATGTTGAGAACCATTGCCCTATAGGTCTATCGGGTTCGAAGCGGTACTAATGTTCACTCACGGGGTGTCGGAGGCACGGCGTTTCGGTGCATGAGCGGCGCCAGGATAATGGTGCAACGCGCTCGCGGCGTTGCTGGCCGTGTGCTGAATGGCGCCAACGCCGGGATTAGAATTCGAGCGCATGGTGTAATGAGCAGAGCACTGATTACCGCCGCCGATCCCATTCGCCCCGTGCTCGCCGAAGACCTCGACGGACTCGCCGGACGGGACCAATCCTACGGCCTCCAGAACGGCGGACTCGTTGGACCGGAGGAACTGCACGCAGCTCTGCGAACGTAAGTGCCGTGCTTTCATTAACTTTCCCTCGCTGACAATGTCGCAAATCGCAGATATGTGTGTGTCTCTCGTAACAGTTTTACAACGTACACGCTTGCAGTCTCGAAGGCATTCGATGATCTCTCGATCACTGAGACTGCCTAAAGCGTGACCCGTGACGTCTATCGTTTAATGTTTAAAGTTGAAACTTAATGCATCAGCGGCCTGAGGAGGATATCGGTAGCGTGCGGGCGGTTAAAATTCAAGTCCAAAATATTAGAACTGTAAAAAATGTGTTCACACAGTGTGTCCTTTCCCGGGAATCGAGGTCGCGGCGAGCCGGAGACTGATTGGCCCGCGCGATCACATCGGTTTCGACTTTTAATATTCGTTTCACTGCTTTCTTTATCGCCGTTCCCGCCCACTCTGTCGAAGTTCTCGTCGAGCCCCTTATTCCGCTTTGCCCGCACTCTTGCCCCCAATACCGAAGTCGGTATGGCAGGGTGGGATTTATCGCTTCTAATTCAATATCGGTACCTTCCAAACCCCCGGTCCACTTCGCCACTTTTCGTTCCCTTCCTTTCGAGCTCTTTCGCTTTCACGACTCGCAATTAACGATCATTGATCGGCGGAGCAGGTACACGGGATGACCGCTCCGCCAAGCGCGAAAATATTCGCGAACGACGCCGTTCGTAGGCGTTGCTAAATGTTTCTATCTGAGAGTTAACGGTAACGAGAAACTTGGGAGTGAAATAATAAGATGCATCGATGTAATATGTAGACGATACAAAATCAATATCGATGAAAAGCGTGTGTTGCATTCTTCGTAACAATATAAAGACAGAAAAGTCGCACCATTTGGCGATATGACATATTGGCGATATGACATTGTGACGTTGTGCATCAATCGCGAAATTGGTGGAAATCCTAATCTCCAACTGGCACGAGTCCTTAAATATCCCAAACATCCCCAAGGGATGAACCTCACGAGAAATTTCGAGGATTTACATGTATATGACGCCGTGGTTCTCGCGTCGAAGGAGACCGCGATGGGAAAAGCGGAAAATCAAGCCTGTGCCTGCGACTTTCGATCCTCGCGCGCGCCTTCATCGCGCCGGCAGAAATGTAAATGCTCGCTATTAATTTGCAATTCGTTACCTCACCGGCCGCTCTGTCGCCCGGCGCGCCTCACTCTTTCCGTTTCGCTCGCCTTCGAGACGGGCAACAGCTGCGGACAGTAGCGTAACCGGAAGGCTCCTATTAAGCCCTCGACTCGAATTTCGCGGCATTTCGTGGAAATTAAAGGTACGATGTATCGATTGACCGGAAACGACGAGCTCCCACGGAACGGAGCTCGCGTTACATCGCGACTCGCGAGCGCGAAATTATTTGATCTTTTCGTCGCTTCGACGGAGAATTCCGCGTCGAAGTAAAGAGATTCACGAGGCATCGCTGCATACTCACTCAAGTAATCTCGTTGTTTGCAATCTCGCGAAAGCGACCGCTATTTGGTTATTATCGAGCGATTTCGTTGCGAGCGTTTTGTCGAGGACCACTTTATCGCGTAATGTTCGCGTAATGCTTACGCCATTGGCTGAAGAGAGGGTTCCTTTGCATTCCGGAAAATGTTCCGAGCTACCCTCTTTCCGCAGCTCATCGCTTTATACGAAACCGCGTATTCGGAGGTGTGTGTATATATATATATATATATATATAAGACTCCAGAAATCTTCCGCAAATGCTCTTAATTCTTTTTTCCTTTTTCTCAACGCGCCATAGATTAGTTCATATCCGGCGGAAGTGCACAAAGAAGCGCGAATGCATTTTTCTCGAACGTTAATTCTCCGTAAATTTTCGCATGAGCATTACCGTCCGATATAAAATACGGCGCTGGTTGTCCTTCCTTTTTTCGGCGGATAAATAATTACGAGTACCGGATTCAAACCAACCAATGCGTGCATGAACGGCCAAAGCGTACCGGATTAAATCGTACATCCGCGGATTTAGCGCGAATACAGCGAAATTGTATGCCAGGGATAATTTTAAGGACGAGATTATATACATTACAGACGAATAGTTCCGAGCTCCGGTATAATTCCCTGAAATGCCGCGCTGTTTAATCGGCCATTCCTTCGAATTCTTTCCACCGGAGCCTAAATTATCTTGTACAGAAAAGCGTATAGGAGATTTCGTACAAATGTATCGCCATGTAATCTCTCGCAAATCTCTCTTCGCTCGTCCCGACGAAGACATTTGACGGACGGAAAATCGACAGAGGCCTTTTTTCTTTCTTTTCCACGCAAGCGATAGTAACGAAACACACAATTTGTCGAGCACGCTATGCGCTCGATTGCGTGTCGCGTATTACGTGTGATAACGCGCGACCATTATATTCTGTATCTCGCGTGTATCCTGTCGAGAGATTGAGGAAGGCGCTTTTCCCCGCTTCCCCGTTCTAGTCGCTCGTCTCGCTCGCTACGTTCCGAGTCGTTCATCCGTCTTGGAACAGACTGCCATGCTCCCATCGACGATCAGAAAGTAGCCTGGGAAATTAAAACAGCCCGCCAGCCGGTCAGCCTTGCCTCTGTTGATTTTACCGGGTCCTCCCGCGCTTCCGCGCTTCGCGCGTTCTCGTTGTACAGGATGTCTCTGTCTCGACGTCACTCATGCAGATTCCACGAGGTATTTGAAATCGATTTTTCCCTAGCGACGATCCGACAAGATGCCGTCTGTTGTAATATTCGCACGACTCCGACGTTCAGAATATCTCGACGGTATGAGACTGCGAGTCAACGGACGAGGAAATAAATAGAAAAATTTCTGCCTTCATCAGGATCGAATTTTTATATCGGGCGAATAATATTTCGCATGATGCATAAACGCGTTATTGCGCAACAGCCATTTCGAAAGCGAGTTGGTGAAAAAAATTGCAGGACCATAAAGAAATAACGCACTGCCGTAGCCGTTGGTTTGGAAAATGAATTTTATAATCTGGGAAACCGGCAATCTGACATGCTAGTCATTTAGAGCTCGGTTTAAAATTTAACTAATGAATAATTAACCGGTACTTCAGCGTGCGAGATTCAGAGTGAATGGAATGTAAATTCAAGCGGCATGCTGCAATGATATTCAAGAATTATATTATTTTCGACATAATAAAACGAGTAAGAAAATTAAAAACGATTACCGATATACGAAATGTGTTACAACGATCTGCTGAAGCTTAAAATTCTTTGTCCGGTTACTCGTTAGAAAAAAAAAATAAAGCCCCGTAATATTTATATTTAAATCGCATATTCGTGATGTGCATGCGTTCAGTGTACAATTTCCTAAATTCCTAAAGAGGGGAGAATTTTGAAGCTTCCTCTCCACTTTCACTCTCTCTCTCTCTCTCTCTCTCTCTCTCTCTCTCTCTCTCTCTCTCTCTCTCTCTCTCTCTCTCTCTCTCTCTTTTTCTCTTTCTTTTTCTTCCTCCCTCAGCAACGTAGAAAGGAGAAAGATAAAATTGCACTTCCTTGCGTGACCTCACGGCGACTCGACCATTATCTTGAATCGACATGCTTTGTAGCTCACATCGCTACTAGTCCTAGCCACAGTATCGCCAGGAAGCGAAACGCGCGAAAGGATCCCGACGGTGCGGCCGCACTCGGCCGCGCGCGCAGTAGTGCATACAAATTTATGTGCCGGCGTGCGAACCAAGAGGGGGAGAGAGAGAGAGACATCAGGCACGTGCGGCATCTTCGAAAGGGCGCGGACCGGTTCCTGCATAACAAACGCCGAACGGGTGATCTTCCCTGCTCGGGATGCCGCGCGTTCCGCGGCCGCACTTGGAACGAGAATCAGCCACGTGCGGCATCGATCTGCCATTTAGCGCGGCGGCCGTAATGCGCGCGGGACCCGTCTCCCTCTTTCATCGCGCGATATTCGCGCGTCTGAGTGCGTAATAAAATAAAAGAAAAAAAAAAACAACCGAGCGCGCCGCATACCGTTAACAGGGTCGCGTGATTGTCAAGACTGCAATAATCGTGCCGGTCTCACCGGCACGAATTGGCGAAGTGAGTTATGCGTCTTGTTTGCACGACAGATGTGCAATTAGCAACGCAAATAAGAATCTCTTTTTTTGATGAAACAGATTATGTAGGAGAGACGTTTCAGGAGAAATTCGAATGACGACACGTAGAAAGATTCTGGCACATACACACAATGTTTAAAATATTTGTATTAATTACACTCTTAACTCATTGAAGACCGATATATTTTTAGGAACCATCTATTTCCTTGTTGCAAGAAACAACAACGACGCGTTGTTTTTACATGCAGATGTAAACAATCGTAAGACCTGTAAGGTTTCCATGAATCAAGTAACGTTCGCCGATTGAAATTATTCGATATTGTTTATTTAACAAACGTTTATATAAACAATCGATATACCCTCGTGCACTTCCTGATATTTCGCGAGTGTAGCAATTAAAAAAAAAAAAAGTAACTTCTTTCGAGCGCGACAGAGGCTGGTCCCGAGAGGCGGGTAACAATTTTTGCGGTGCACGTGGAACGCGCGTCTTCATGCATCGTTACGCGCCGCGCCACGTTGCACACGGGGGCGCAGTGATTTATGACCGTCGTGGTGCCTCCAATAAAGCATCGGACTGCTTATGGATCAGCCGTCAGCGTGTCATTCTCATTGTAGACTCGTGACGTTTCATCAAAAAATTTAGGGAAACTCCTACGCAGCTGTTGTCTTGCAGCTACCGATGGCGATAGCCCGCTGGGCGGGGGATATGTAAAACGGCGGTGAAAGGAGACGAGCAGGAATCAATCGGTTTTACCTGGTTATTCGCTCTGGCCGCGTTGCTTAGGTCCCTCTGCAGGGAGGGTAAAGTGTGCTTGAGATATGGCAGGACAAACCCACGGAGCGGAAAGTTGGTCGCCTCCTGCAGCGCCGAGTGAAACTCCTCCGCGGTCATGCTGCCGCTCTGCAATGAGCGATATACGCGTGGCGCGCATTTAGCCGCCGTAATTCAATCTTCGACAAAAAGATCGAATCCCGGCCGGTGTGACGGACAGCGCGTTTCTCGTCCGTGCGGAACGAGTGCGCGCGGCTTTGGTCGCGGATTTGGTTTTGCGTTTGTCACGTGCCGCGATCGTTTTACAGTTAAGCACAGTCACCAGATGTCACGTTTCCGGGACGTATGCACGCTCGGTACACAACGACGACATTATGCATTATGTACGTACTTTGAATATTTACGAGCTGTTTAACGACACGGTACGACCGGCATCGATTAACTATGCTTTTTTTCATCCGAATCGCGAGCGCGCGCGCGCGCGCACGCATGCGGCACGTCCTGCGTTATCCGTCGCCTGTTAGTTGCAACTGGACCTCCGGCCCTCTCGATGACCTCGTTATTGTCCAAAAATTACCGGTAAAACGCCATTAAAACGTACTCTTCCTCAATCGGCTAATTAGCAGCTTCGAAGTCGGATTTCTTAGCGGTATACGAAATATATTTCTGTCGCAAATGGATTACTCGGGAGAAAAGGACTAAATCAATTTAGTATTTCACACAATAAAATCTGCTGCATGCGCGCGCACACACGGAGAATGTGTTTTACTGTACGGACGCGTCTAACACATTGCAAAAGTACGCTAATGCGTACTGCATGTTCCGCGATTTTAGCACGCGACGGAAAATTCCGTCAGCTGGTACGCGTATGTTACTTATCGTTGGTACTGAAAGAGTTTCTAAGTCCGAAAGGTCTTGCGTGCACCTAAGAGGAGACGCTGGGTGAAATAGCCGATGGAACGAACGCGTGATCATCGGACAGAGAGTGCCAGCCAGCATGAACTAACGGTTTATATCGCATAAATCGCGGTGAATGTCGCGCTAAAATTTATAGAGATGCCAACGGAATATCAAGTGAATTCCTGAAGACATTTCTCCCTATATCTATCCTCAACGTACCATCGTGATTACGATGTACCGACGTGTTATTACACACTGTTAACGGTTAAAAGAATTTCACGTCCGCAAGGAAGGTGAAAGTTTTCTCTTCGAAAATCAACGAAAAATCAACGTAGAATAAAATTTCTCGCTAAATATCAGCCAGAAAGAAGTTGAAAATAAGACTTTCAAGAAATTATAGAAACTATCATAGAAACTGTAATAGAACAAGAGTTTTCGCTAAACGAAGCTTCTTCTTGGGGCAAAATTAGTGTCGTCAAAATTAGCAACCTCTTGCTCTTCGAAGCACAACCATCTGATACCTCATAGATAAAAGTGTCATTCACCTACCAGAAGCGCGAGCACCAACGTGCGCACCGTGTCGCCCGTGTCCGTGGAGATGTCGGTGGCGAATTGCACGAGGGTGCCCAGCAGCCTCTTGAGCTTGCTGTGCCCCGCGAAGATGCTGCTGACGCATCTGGCCGTGCCGTTCGCCAACGCGACCCCATCGCTCTGCTCGTCTGGCCTGCACGCGTTGGGCCCGACATTAGCGCCGGGTCCCTCTTCAAGCTCAGGCTTGAGCGACTGTGAGGGCAAAGGGCTGTCGTTGTCGGAGGACCTCGAGCAACCGGACGCACCTTTGTACTCCGTCCGAGAGCCGTTCGTCTGCTTCTGCTGACCGGTCAAAGGCGCCGCGCCGATCCTTTGATGCTGTTGAGAGGTGGGCGAGTGCGCTTCGGGCTGGACCGCTTCCTCCCGCGATTTCTCTCGCGGCGCGGACGACGATGCTGCAACGAACATCAGTCCACGTGTTCAGGCGACTGCGTCTCCCTGAGTATCGATCGCGGCATCAAAACTCGGAGATGAGACGCTTCAATTCTCAATTCGTACAATAACAAAGTGAATGTTGTGCATTCATTCGAAGATAAGTCACTCGCGTGAGTGATCGATATATTCAACGCTCCTGTAGAATAACCAATCGTTCAAAGTGACCGATCGTTACAAAGTTGGCCGAAAGGAACGTCGCTGTTTAAGATTTCAATCAAACAGATCCTGCGCTTCCATTCGCAGATTCCATTCGCTGAGGTAACATTTACACCGTCCCGCTGATGTGAAAATTGTTATTTGCTGGTACAACGGCTACGTTGAGGCCAGGCAGAAGAGCTTTTTCATTGCGCGGATTAAGTGCTTCGCGCGGCTCTAACGGACCATCCAATGAAGCCGCGAGAGCACGGGGCATTCTCGAGAGGCGGGCATTATTTACACTTGAAACCGAAAGAGACCTATTCAGCCCGAGGAAGAGAACGAACGGCGTTGCCGCAAACGTCCTTTGTGTCGTACATCCGGGAACGTCAACCACGGAGAGGCACGTGGAACGGGCAGCCGGATTCGTCGCCGTACACTCTTCCGCGCGAACCCACGCGGCGCACACATGCACCCCGTGCGTCCGCGTATACGTACGCGCACACGAGTCGACCACGAGCGCGTGGGTGCAACGGATAACATGCAATTACGGGCCGTGTCATCCACCTTGTCTTGTTCCCGTCCTGTGCGCGCAGCGCGTTATCTCCCGTGGAACGCCTGCGGCATGCGTGGCGAAAACGACGAGAGCACGCCGACTATGCCGATAACGAAATGTTACAGACACTATCTCACCGGTCGCGCCCGCGCTTTGTGCAATGTTGATCGGCAGGGCCGAGCGATCTAGCGAGGAAGGATCTCGCTTCACCTCGTCGCTGAGCTCCTTCGAGAGCTATTCCACTGTCGTCGCGATCGATCGACCGATCGAACGAAAAACCCGGCTCTCGCGATGGGAGAAAATGTATTGATCGGTGCTTTGACCTTTCTCAAAATTATCTCGTCCGTTTATTAACGCTTGATTTGAGGGCGACGATTTCAAACGAATGCTCATGCGTTTTAATTTCGCGTCGAATTAATATACGCGTTACAACACGCGTGACCAGCGATGGAAAAAGCGTTGGTGAGCGTCTAAAAATGGGTGTCACGTAATTCGCCCGCGATCCTGGTAGATCCGTCGAGTTAGATATAATTCGTGAGCGTTCGCGAGCGGCGGTGTGACTCGCGCTACGGCCGCCTTCTTTTTCCTTTCAGAGTACCACTTAATTATATAATCGCCTGGCTGAAATCACAGTCATAGCCACGAAGTGCCATCACCATAATTCGCACGTCGAGGAATTTCCAGCTTTACTGCCGCTACACCTGTACACGGCACGCGTAGCCCGCTCATAATTGAGAAGCAGCCGCAGATATCCCATAAACGTGGCTCAAAACGCATAATGTTAGGCCGTGAGCGCTAGCCGTGAGATGCACGATTGATGAATCGACACAACTGTCGCCCATTAAACACAGCGTGTTCATGTTTAGGACATACACAACTTTTTTCGCGGATCAAACGACTTGCCGTGTCCGATTATTACCTCAGCCGAAGGTTGCACGCCCCCTAAGTGTCGCTAAAATAATTAGTCCCCTTGTCCCTTGCCCGAGATTAAGTCAGCGCGCAATGAAGAATAATTGATGCAAAACTCGCACTTAACTTCACGTTTGTAACACATAAGCCGAGGCTGTCGGACAAGACAGTCAGTCCATCGACGGAGCCAGCGTGGATGATCCTATTAAGCTAATGGAACTGATCGCTTAGCAGTACCGCGAGTTTACGTGTATTTTTGCGCGAGAGCGTGTAAATGCATGGAGCGCATAGGTGTGTCGAAAGAAAGGTCGAGGCAGAGAGAGAGAGGGAGAGAGAGAGGGGGAGAGAGAGAGAGAGAGAGAGAGGGAGAAAGAGCGGGAGAATGCAAGAGGGAGAGGGAAAGAGAGAGAGAGAGAAGAGAGCCTCACCGTGCAAGTAAGAGGAAGAGGCAACGGCGGAGGAGGAGGTCTACGCTGCCGTGTCACTACCACCTGACGCCGGTAGCCAGTAGGTAATTACCTGTACCTGAACTCCCGACAAACTAAACTACCTCACGGCTTATGCGATATGACGGCGAGCTGAGTACACACAAGTGCCTTCCACCGCGCGCGCTTGCATAAAGGCGAGGTTACGTAGGGCGCCGTCGTGATATCCCACGGAAAAATCTCCTCGATGGCCTCGGTAACTGCCGCCGCAAGCTGTCGAGCCGGGAGATTGCGAATAGCGATTGCGAAAATGGCGTTTGCACGCTTCCGCGGGACGGGGACCGGGCGCGTCAAAAAATGGAAACGTCGGAGCGGTCGTCACTCTGATACGGATTATCATAACCGCGACGCCTTTGAGTTTTCTTCGTGCAGCGCTTTTCGATCGTGCGCGAGGAATGTTAGTCGCACGCACACGCACATACCGCACATGCGCGCAACGCACACATCGATGCAAGCGAGGATGAACTCTTTCGGGTCGGACCCTCCATTGATGGTAACTTGTCGCGCGTCGATTCCTTTCCGTTTTATCGTTATCGCCGGCAAATTAATCGGTCGGCTGATGAGCGGACAGGTGAGACAGGTGCTTAATTGCGCGACCTGCAAATTCACAGGGCGCTGTAACATTTATAACAATATTATTCGACTGCAGTGTGCAATAAATGTGCGATAAATTTTCGTCGTTCCGCCCGGCTGATGTTTATTCGCCGTCGATTCGTTAATGTCGACGTCCTTTCCCCCGGCGCGACGTGATACTCGGAAGTCAAAGTAAAATAAACCGGGGGCATGTGCAGTTAATTAATCGCGCCATCGCGCGAGGCGTTTCCTTTTAATGCGCGGACGCGCGAGTTTTGCCAAATTTATCGGGCCAATTCGCCCGTCTCGATTCTCAAAGCGGTTGAGCATAGCCGAGTGAGCTGATAGGACGCCTGTGTCTCTCTAATGACGATGACTTTACGATACGAAATCGTGGCGATGCATCTCCTCGGTACAATGATGGCACACATGCGGGTGCAAGCATCCAGGATCCCCATTCATTTTCGAATCGTGATGTCTCAATGCGTCGGTGATTAAGTGAGCAACGATAAAACGAAGATTAATTATTCCCGGGACGAATGCGACTCGCCCGGTCGTCCCCGGTCAGCTCTCTCCCGCTCTCTTCCTCTTTCTATTTCTCTCCCTCCCTCCCTCTCTCTCTCTCTCTCTCTCTCTCTCTCTCTCTCTCTCTCTCTCTCTCTCTCTCTCTCTCTCTCTCTCTCTCTTCGGATGTCGGCCTCTTTTCGGTTCGAAGGATATCACGTATAACGACACGACGAACGAGCGCGACACGTCGATTATATATTCGAAATAAAATTACAATTACAATTATGCACGGTGTAATGACATGCAAATAATGCACGAACGCCGTAATTATGTAAAACGGATTATAACGAAGTAATTAACGAACATGATTATTGTCGGACGATACCGTTGTATTATTATCCCATTATTGCGGCAGCGAAATAATTACAATATCAATTGTCGTGTCCGGCGTATTATTATTTGACGGTCATCGTCATGGCGGGGCCGTCGACGCTGGAGAAATTCGCTGGAGAAGAGCGGTTAAAAAAGGAGCGCTCGCGGTGGTATCGGGACGCGGTCACATCGGGTACATACATATTAACATATTGCATCCCGGGACGCGGATCCTACGGTTATAGGTGCGGACGCTGCGCAGCATCCTCACGGCTACACCGCTCCTCGGCTGCGCTCGAACGCGCAAGGGTGCACGCAAAGTTAAAGACCGTGCGTGCGAGAGCGTGTGAGCTTAACGCGCGAATGCTTAATCACCGTCGCGTTGTGATTGCACGCAACTGTCACTCAGCGACCCTCTTGCCGCGAGCGCAATCTTGCCGGTTGCGCGCGGATGCAACGTAGTCGCACGTCTTTCCCTGATATCGTGCGACGTATGCGTAGGTGTGGCGTGTGTGTGCGCGTCGTATGTGCAAGGATCCTCGAGAAGGTATGTAGCTTGGATGATGGTAATGGTACCGCCGCCGCCTCCACCGCCGCCGCCGCTGCTCCTGCTGCTGCTGCCGCCGCCGCCACCACCGCTGCTGTTGCTGATGTTGCTATCCCTTCGGCCAGCTGTTACTTCCTGCAGCGGTTCTCCATCTTTCTCAGCTGCCGCTCCGCACCATCGCCAGAGGCTTATCAGGAGAAACGCACGCCCCCACGTTCCTTTGCCGATTTCGTTTGATCGTGACGAGCATCCGTGCTGCGTTCGATATTGCCGAGCGGGCCTAGCATATTGTTCGTCATCATTTCGCGACGATAATAATAACAGCCGGGTAGGAATGAAAAATAGGATCGACGATTCGGCTAATGGAAACGCAGTGACGTTCGCAGCGACAGGTGTGGTCACGAGGGAAGAGGAAAGATTTCTTGCGGCAAATCGCGCGTATATCTCCGCTTCTCGCCGGCCTCGCGCGCGCACTCAAACGGAATACACGGAGATCCGGTGTGCGACATGTTTATTCGTCCGGGGAATAAACGTGATGGGCAACGTAGGTGTATATGACGCTTTTAAACCGCGACCACCGGCGAACTTGGCGAACTTCTTCCGCCGTACAGCGCGCACGTGGAGAATTTCGACACACCTACGTAAAGGAGACGTGTACGCGCCGTGGGGAATTTCAGATAATGGCGCGCCATTTTTCCGCGGAGCCACCGTTTGTCTTCGTGACAGTGGAAAATCAAAGTTTACCCATGTGGGCTGCTCCTGCGGACCATATGTGCGCGCACACGTGCACAACTCTCGGAGCAGCCGGTAGACAGAGAGAGGAGGAGGGGGGGGGGGGGAGAAGGAGTCATGTCTAAACCCTCGCGGCGCTCCAATGCTGCGGACATTCTTTGAGTTCTGTTCAAAGATATCCATTATCCCCGACGTAGTCCGCATATATTCGGGCAATATATAATTTTGTCGGGAAGTTGCGGGGCCGCTTTTAAAATGTCATCCACGCGATGCGTCGTTTGCCGGAGGAACTTTCGTTGCACTCTGACTCTCGCATTTACATTCGCGCACTCGTCGCTTAAAAATGCGACCGCACCGTTTTCTTTTTTCCTTCTTGTTTTGCAATTCTGCATAGTCACGATATCGTGATGACGCAGGATCGCAGGATCAGCCGCGTCTCGGGGGATGCTCAGTTGAGTTACGAAAATGAATTTTTGCGCGCGCGCGCCGACTTCTCTCTTCCTGTGCCGCAAATTGCTTCTTACGGAAGCTCTTCATTTCCCCGCGGCACGCATCACGGCCAGACACCCAGCTACCATGAAGAACTTCGCCGCAGACTATTACGTCAATCAACCGTTGCTTCTCCGCGCGAGCCGCTCTTTCGGCACGCTGTCGCTGACGCAAATATTCGCACAATTAGCCATTACGCTTCACATCTCTGTGATTCTCACTGTCTTTCGCCAGCCGATCCTCCGATAGCCGATATTATTTAATAGCCACCAAGAGAAGCGCTGCCTTCAGCAGAAGCTTTGCCTCATGATTCATCTCGCAAAATTGCCGTCACAACTCCGTTATGATTCCTTCATAATTCCGTTCTCGCCATTCTTGGTATCTTACGTCCGCTTCACAATGCTATCCTTGATCTACTGACCCGCGGAAATGCGGAAATCCGATAAACGCCGCTATAAACGACGCTCGTTAATACGAACCCAACGGTGAAATGTTAATTCGAGAAATGAGCTCAGCGAGAAAAGAAACGGACGGACGGACGGACGGACAGACAGCGCTGTCTCGTCGATCGGCGATTTAAAAAAAAGAAAAAATGTGCGCGCCGCTAATTGCAGCTGGCGACCGCGAGTGCACCGGCGCGCCGTCGGCCCAGGCGTTACGCACCCGAGCCATACGCAAGCTTTCGCACGGAGCAAGGTGGTCTTCGTGGGCGACGTTCGACGGGGCACGAAGAGAGAGAGATCGATAAAGCGCACGTGCTCCGCGCGCGGCTGAGAGTCCCTGGCTGGAAGTAAGTACGGTGGGACTCAGCTGTCGCCTCCTAATTGCCGGGACAATGCAACAGATGGCTTTGATCGCAATCCCTACCCGGTCTTCCCACTCTCGAATTCTCCTCCGCTCTCTGTCTCTGTCTGGGTCTCTGTCCCTCCCTCCCTCCCTCTCTCTCTCTCTCTCTCTCTTTCTCTCTCTCTCTCTCTCTCTCTCTCTCTCTCTCTCTCTCTTTCCTCTCTACTCTCTCGATCTCGCATACTCTCCACAGTGTGCTCCTCTCTTGCGCCGCTGTCGCCGTTTTTCTCGCATCCTTCCTCGCGGCCTTCCTCCCCGTCGATTCGCTCCAACATCTCGCGACTCCATGTGTTCGATTTCATCTCGCAGACAAGCTTGCCACTTAAGGGCCGAGAATGTCGAGATCTCATCCTGGTCACTATTCCAGTCTGATCGGTTGCACACTTGAATACTAGCATGTTGTAATACTCGAGGTCTCCTTTTTTTGACTGGGAAGAGCGCGGGGAGGATGTGTAGGGTGATGCTGCTTAAAAAAGGAAAGACTCACCCCGAGATCTTAACGGAGATCTTATTGCTTCCCCGAGTTTTCCCTCGCGATTAAAGAACAATTAATCGCGGTTTAATTGTTTCCTTCTAAATCGGAGGTTCGAAGAGAGCCGAGGAGAGAATTGATTGAACCTCGATTAATTTCGATCACCGCGTTTACTGGAACCGCTCATGGAGAATCCCTAAAACGCTGCTGGAACTCAAATTAACGTTTGTGAAAACGATCGCAACACGAGGCTGCTAATTACCGCCAGCGGCGCCGCCGCGCCGGCCGGACGGTTAAGAGCGGAGAGCCTAAAAAAATATCAACATGTCCACGGCGACGTAATTAGCTTTAGAATGTCGCGCGAAGGGTTAACCGGTCGTTTAACTCGAGCTACGTCGAGGAGGTGCGGCGGAGCCGATAACGTACCACTTAACGTATTCTCTCGTCATCGCCTCTAGCTCTCTAGCGCATCGCGAGTCTTCCAATTTTATGAAACTCGTCGGCTGAGAGGTAGAGGAGAAGGAGGAGGAGGAGGAGGGGAGAGGAGGACGTACGTACGTACGTAGGTACGTACGTCGAGGACGAGCTCCAGGTCGTAAGCCGCACCCGTAGGAGCGCGGTGTGCGGGTGACTATCGCGAAACACCTCGAACGGCAGCGTCGGGGATGCCCCGGCGGCGTGCCGGATATGATATCAGCCCCGAGCAGAATCCCAGTGGAAGTGTTGGACGTGCCTTATCGCGTCTGGACCAGGCAGTCAGGCGGCGCACGAACCTAACCGACACACACCGGGCCAGCCAACCAAGTTGACTGACTGCTCGCAGGAGTTTCGCCATCATCCCCCGTGGAGCATCCTCTCATGCTTTCTACCTCGCTCTGTCTCTTTTGCTATCTACCCCCCTCTTGCTCTTTCTCTCTCCCTCCCTCCCTCCCTCCCTCTCTCTCTCCCGCTCTCCCCTCACTCTTGCCCTCGCTAATGTATCGCTCGTTCATGTACACACCTATGCGTGCGCTTATGCAACCACGCGTGCTAGAAACCGCGAAGAGCGGTACACAGAATATGCCAAAACTACGAACGAACGCTCATTAAATATTAACCGCGAATCATCAACCGCACAGAGAGACTCCTCGGTTAACGCAGGGTTTGATTTTTCCGTGAGGAAACGTTCGTACGTCTTCGCGTCGCGTCGCGTCGAATCGACAGTGGAAATGCGTGTCTGTCGCGCTCCAAGTTCCCGGGTGCACCGCAATCGAGGATCGTGAGACAGGCAGACCTCGATGACGAATCCTTGCGAGTAACAACTTGCGTAGTCAACAAAAGCTGATCGATCGCGGCGAACGAATCCCGCGAGGACGAACGGTGGGAGAAGGAGAGCGGGAGAGCGGGAGAGAGAGAGAGAGAGAGAGAGAGAGAGAGAGAGAGAGAGAAAGAGAAAGAAAGAGAGAGAAAGCTCGCGTTCGGCCGCGTTGACGGGGCTTTGATGTGCCCCAGAAGGGGCTTTTTCCTGAGCCCCGGTTTCCAAGTTAGCTGCGGGCTCCCGGCCGTCTAGATAACCGGCTCGGGCTGAATGTACGATTCGAGCGAGAGAGCGCACGCGGACTGGATATACGGGTACCGGCATGCAATATTCCGAACTAATGTACGACGCGCCCACAGCGTGGGCCGCGGCCCACTCGACGCTCTCGCGCGGACATCGGCGAGGTCGTTCTTTTTAATTTTCGGTTTCGACGGAACGGGATCAACCTCCGAGGTCAACCTCGTCGCGCTCATCAAGATACCGATGAGACCTCCCGAGCCGTTTGGCCTCGCGCGCGCGCGCCTTAGCTGGCGCTACAGCGATAAGGACAAGAACGTTGTCCTGTAGTTGAATTTACAGGATCTCTCCCTCGGTCCGTCGCAGACATCGAGCGTGTGCGCGAGATTGCTCTATTGATTTTCTTCATTCGAGATCCATCAGGCTCCATCAGGTCGTTTCTGCCGTTTCTCCTGTTCGTTTTAATCGCCTTTTAATTGTTGCCGATTTAAGATTGATTATTCGCACGGCGTTTATTTCCGGTCGCGCCCAGCGACAGCAATGAGCGATCGATAAAAGCGATTAAAGCGGGTGACAGGTTGATGCCGTTAGAGAGCTGTTGCGTCGAGCACCGGAATCCGTGTTAAGTAGAGAAAAAGTAATGTACCACGCCGCCGGTCTAAAATTAGATGAACCGAACGCACCGCACCTGTGCGCTACACTATCGGCGCGGCGTCGCTATTCCCGAATTAACAGAATAATGAATTCGCACACGAGCCGAGCGATTTGTTGTTTTCTTTTTCTCCCCTCTCCTCTCTCTCTCTCTCTCTCTCTCTCGGTGGCGCGCTTGATAGATAGTCAAATCAGGCCAGAATGATCACGTTGTTAATTTTTAACGACACGTGTCACCCCGGGTTGACGGGTTATTACAATATATTGCCGACTGCGATGGAAGTGAAGGGGTTATTAACAACTCTGATGAATGTCATATATTCCGCAACGAGATATATACTTCGAATCACCTCGCTGGCAATTGAATTATAATTAAACGTAAAGTAATAATAATACGCGATCGCGCGCGCTCACGCAGCCGCGCACGCATTCGCGCCGACACAGAGCGGCAATTGAAATTTCGTGTATTTTCACTGCGACCTTAACACTCCTCCGCGCGCGCTCTCTCTCTCTCTCTCTCTCTCTCTCTCTCTCTCTCTTCAGCGCGCGACACGAAAAGTATTTTCCGCGATAAACCGCGATGAACATGGCGATCGCGACACGCGAATTCCGACGTCGCAGAACAACACAGCGCGTCAGCTTAATGTCGCGCGCGCGGAGAGTCTTCCAATATCATCACTTACATTTTGCAAAACGTAGCGAGACGTAGACCGCACGGAGAAATCGATACGTCGATGACTGACAAATTGATATTTGCACGTTGGCCAACGAGCCAATGCCTGGGAACGATCGATCGTTCCCCAAGAAGTCCGCTTGCGATATCCGCTTGCGAAGAAATCCTGACCGCGAGACGTTAAGACAGACAGAGATAGAGAACTCGAACGACAACAGAAATAATCCGCTGCAAAAGTGCACTTGAGTGAGACGTTTAATATCAAACGATCGTCCTCGTAAGAAACGCGTCCTCACATGGACGTCCTTGCGACGGATCGATATCTTTTCCGAGGGTGCATAAGAAGCACCAGTGTTTACGGTTGACTCATCGGTTGAACTTTCTTGCGCGTATCGCCCTGATCAATATTCTTCTTTTCTTTTTTCCAGGAGGCAAGTACTCACCCTTGTTCTTGGCCTTGAGATCGAGGTCGACCGGGAAAGGGTCGCCGGTATTCCCGGCGCCGGAAACGGTCGTCGGCGGATGGCAAATAATGCTGGAGGATTGTAGGGCGGGGGCAGCGGCCGCGACGGTGGCCACCGTGGTGGTCGTCGACGAACTCGCGGCCACGCTGGAGACGCCGTTGCTGTTAGTGACGGTGGTGGTGATCGCCGTCGCGGCGGAGACGGTGAGCGTCGCGACCGTCGCGGTGGTGGCCGCCGACGTCGACGATGGCGAGGTCTGCTGATAGCCGCAGCATTCCTTCGTCTCTTCCTTAACCTTGACCTTGTGGAGGACCGTCGTCGTCGTCGTCGTCGCCGTCGCCGCTCCGCCCTCCACTTTCATGCTCGCGAGCCGCGTTCTCACCTGCGGACAACGGCATAAATTAGATTCGTTCTGACTTCGCCCGAAACGGAAACTGGTTAACGGCGATGATGTAATTGCTGGACATCCGCCTGAGGAATCGCAGGTAAGAACCAAAAACTATCTAAAGGTGCCTCTTTTTTTAAGTAAACACAGCTCATGTTGATTTTTTTACAAATTTTCTCTTTTGATAAAAAGAAAGGGGAGGTTTGTTGACCATATTAAAATATACAGATAGTGTTACAAACGGTGAAGCTACTTTTCACGAGAAAGTTTTTCTCCTCGAAATTCGTATATTTTACAATGTTTTTAATACCGAGGGAAAATATGAAAGATTAACACACGGGCTTTCGGCATAGAACTATGTATCTATTTTCTCTAACATGTTATCGCACATTGTTAAAATAATATATCCGTCCAAGGAGATATATATAAAGTACAACGCGATCACGCGATTGCTCGATGTGGAAAATCGTAAGGGAGCCGCCCTCCGCTCCGCGAAAATCTATTTACGTCGCCGAAATATTGAATATTAGGTGCCTCCTCTATCCACCGCGACGTTTTCGCGAGAACGTGCACCTGCTCCCAATCAGTACTCGGACTCGAATCGACATGAGCGCGACGAGGCGCAGAAAAACGAGCAAAGGGACCGGTACACCCATATGCACGTCATTGCGCGCACGATTCATATTTGATTGATTCCATTTCATGAGCGCCGCCGGCCGCATGTTTCGTCTACGTGCCCGGCGACGGGACCGTCGTCGCGCATACCGATTGCCGTTTTAATGGAATGGACGGACGTTAGTTTTACAAACCAACAAGGATCCGTCACGGCGCGAGAGCACGGACCGGGTCGGGGGATTATTGGGGATCCGCGAACGCCGTCGCCCATAACTGATCGCGCCGTCGTTTTTGGCTGCACTCGGCGGCACGGCCTACAAATGGACCATCACGGAAGGCCTCCGCAAATGTTTCCGCGAAATGGAGCAAATGTAGGGGCGGTGTGTCAGGGGGGGGGATATCACAAGCTATCCTCGCGAGCTACTACCTCTCCTCTCTACTGTGGAATCGCCACCAAGACCTCGGGCTCGTTTCCCCGTGAAAATTTGATTGGCCGTTAGCTTCGATTATTTGTCTTCGATATCTCAAATTGAAATCTCAAATTGAATGCTGAAGTTTGCAGTGAAATTAATTAATTGGTCTACGTTTGTTTAAATTATTAAGATCCTCAGGTAGTACAAAATTTAACACACTCTTTTACACGAATTGAAAACGGGTAGGTTAGGGTTAAACGGAGAATGGAAATTTTCAGCGAAATCTTTCGGAAGAAATCTCGAGTCCAAATTAGCCCGTTCGTTCCACATTAATCCTGCAAATTCCGTCGAACTTGCAAACAAAAAGGCAAATTCTCTTTTTTTATCATCTCTTTATTGTATCTTTTATCGATGTTAAAAATTTCGATGGAATTTAGAGATTCGAAACAGGTGAGAGAGAAAGAGTTGTGAGCCGACTGCCGCTACATCCTGCTTCCTGCTTAATTTCTCGAGTTCTGGAGTTCAGGTTCCAGGTTGTCATCGTAGTCGGACGATGACAATCACTGATGCGTTTAATCGTGCGTCAAATCTTGATATCTTTGATAACGTTTTAGAAATTGAATATTTTAAAAGCGTTGATTGTAATAATTTCTCTCGGCTGTACCGCATATCTTTTGTAACTCGCAAACAGGCGATTAATTTTGCTTCTTTCCCAATTTTGAAATTTTGGCATCACCGTAGTTAATACACATTTCTCTGATCAAAATGTATCTACGCGAGTGTCAGTGGCAGTGAGTGTCGCGTATGACGAAATATCCAGGAGCAGGATGCTGAATTGAGAAATCAGGATGCAAGACGCACAGACGCGCGCGAGCGGCGATATACCTCCAGGTGTATGTCAAATTATTTAGTACGCCGAATGTTTCTGCTCTTGTCCGACGATATCGTCTGATATAAAGAGACGCCCGAGATGAAATTTAGAATTCGTTCTAAGGCCGGCGACCACTGTCGTTGCCATTGTTTATGAAATGATTCCTCCAACATGGAGGAAAGGTCATTGAGCGACCATTGCAGCACCAAGACGGGACAAGAATGTATAATATTACACGTCAAAATTCTGCATCGATCTGTCGAGTATTCGCGAGAGATCGTTAGTTAATGCAAGAGCAAAATGTTCACTCGCTGTTCAAGCCGAAGCCTCCCGCGAGCAAACGCCATTCGTCGCGTCCACGGCGATTCTTCCTTCTCTCGGCGCGCCGCGCGGCGTGTAAATATCGCCAGGATGTTTGCCGCTTGCGAATACGCAGGAGTCGTAAACATTATGAAGATTTACATCCGCCTGACAGGTGGTACCGGGGAGCGATGTTGCGCCGCGTAAGCGTCTTGCGTTCTGCACGTAACGCGACGGCGGCGGCGTATTTAGCTTCTTTCCTCCGCGCTCGCTCGCGCGCCTTCTTCTGTATCTCCGTGCTTACCTAGCAAGATCTCGTTTCATATTTATTACGGTAATCGCGTTGCTGGGACTTTTACGAGCGCGGTGCTCTGCGCCGACAGCTACGTCCGGCGTTAAAAGTAATGGAACCGAACGTCCGCTATCGTTTTTTTTCCTCGCGACACCACGCGAGGATCCACGAACGTAATGTATAAGTGTACTTTTCCTACTCTTCCACCGCGATTTTATATGATCGCGCGCGCACGTGAGTTTCGCAATATGCGTTAGTTCTGACATTTTTTCTCATCGGTTCTCATCGATTCCTGAAGCGACTCATTGCTTAAACCTCGATGTTCGAAGTGAAAAGATCTGACGAGAAATGTCCGTCTTCAACAGCAGCAACTACTGTTGTCTGATGCCGGCGCATGAAACAATCTTGCCGATAACTAAGACCGATGTAGCTCTACGCAAGTGCATAACATTACCCCGGATGCTACAGCAATATTATTCCGGGCAAAGTCACGTGCATCGGTGCATCTACTGCGTGGCCGCCACTCGGCTGCCCGGAGACAAAACCATGTCACCGGAAACGGCGCGGTTGTAAGGAAATTGAATAGTGACCATCGGAATAACTATGACGAACAAACCGACAGCTGCACCGTTTTCGTCGAGTATATATTGGATTACATCGATCGATTTTTCCCTTCACGCGGCCGGTGCGGCGCGGCGCAGCGCGGCGCGTCAAGTGTACACCCGTGGCCGTTATTTTTGCCACAAGCAAGGTGTCTTCAGGGGATTACGGTCTCCTCGGCGCACAATCGATCGACTCGGGCTCGCGCAAACGAGTCGCGACAATAAGGATTCATCGCGTCACGTGCGAACCCGATGAATGAATGAGATTATAGCAGCGGAAGGATAGAATATATAGACGCTCATTCACGCGCTCGTACGTTCAGCTTGTAAAAAAAGTTGCACGTTCTCTTTCTCTCTCTCTCTCTCTGTGGCTTATGCCAAATCGATTCGGGACCGAGCGATTTGCGTGAGCCCGGTAATACTTTTTCGGTTCGAACGCGAGCGAAATTACAGGGGTAGGAAAATTAAATGGCACGAATGCGGAAACGGGGAGTAATCTTTAAGATCCACGTGGCGCGCGCCGCCGTTCCTGCCGGATGGAATTTTATTTTATTGACGCGCGCAGCCCTGGCAGCAGGCTGCCTTCGGTGCCACATGGTCCCGTTATTAACGTGAAATGCAAACGAGCCCTTCGTTGCGTCCAAGAAACGGCCGCTCGGATGACTCGCTATAATTTTTCTCGCGAAACTGCATCGCCAAATGCCGTCGAGTTTCAACGTGTTCATAACTGCGCCGGGAAATCCAACGCGGGACTGCATTCGGTTTTCCACGCTCGCGAATCGCGCAACGCGATAAAGCCTCTAAGTCCTAATAACAAATGTTCGTAACTGTCACGCTCCGTTTAATCAAGTAGTGTGTGTGTGTGTGTGTGTGTGTGTGAAACGCGTCACGCGCGATACGATCCGCTCGCAGACGCAGTTTTTACGCCGGCTGAGTAATTAGCTCAAGCATTAACATTAATTTCGCGGCAACGACAGTTCGCGACAATGCAGAATATCGCACGTGGAAACGCCGCTTGTTGTGGGGCAACTTGGGGTAGCACGAAAAGACGATAAAACTCATGTTCTCTGCAAAAAGAAGAAGAAGAAGAAGAAAATGTTACGTACAGTCTGTAAAGTAAGAGCGTGTACGGCATAAATGACAGTTGGCTTCAAATATCGTCCTAGTTTTTTTGTGAGCCGATAGATGAAATCTTTGTCGTGAATACTTTGTCACGAAAGATTCAGTTGGCGTCGAATTCTAACCTGAGAAACACGTTAACCGCCGCATGAGCGCCGCATACGCATCGCGCTACGAGGCTGTGTTCCTTTGTTCCCACCCCAAAGGACCAAAAATGTCATATGCAGTGGCTGCTAAATACATGGGAAAGTCAAACTCGTTCGTCGCTAAGTGGGTTCAGCAATATAAGAAGATCAAAAATGTCGAAGACTTGCCAGAACGTGGCTCGATAGGCAAAGTGACGCCGAATATGGAAAAAAAAAATTGTGAATTTGTTTAAGCGGAACCCGACCTTAATGCTTAAAATTTATGAGAAGTGTTTATTGCCGACTGCTGAATGATGCTTCATAAAAAAAAACGAGGACTGGATCTTACAGGAAGACAACGAGCCAAAACACCGGAGCAAGCTTTGCACCGAGTGGAAAGAGCAGTCTGGCATCGTCATACTTGATTGGCCATCGCAGTCGCCAGATGCAAATCCCATTGAAAATCTGTGGGCATATCTCAAGCACAAGCTTCGAGGAAAAAGAGTGTGCACTTTGAAGCAGCTGACACGACAAATTCGTCTCATTTGGAGGTCTTTACCGAACGAATACGCAGTCAACTTAGTGGAAGGTATGCCTCGGAGATGCCAGCCAATTATCAATGCCGGTAGTGACTGGACTCATTATTAATGGTATAGCATT